TCTCCTGAAAATTATTTTATGTGAGTGCTTGGTAAGAAGCTCAAGAGGTGCTGACACATTCAATGTCCTAAATAACTTCTCAAGACCCAGGGTGTATCCTGGACAAACTGCACTGACCCTGAACTGATGGTATGTAAACAATGGTGGGTGAAACTGCTGCTCTCTTAGCATGAATCACAGCAGGACACCAAACTGCGCTCAATGTCAGAGTACTTTCCACAGCCACATACTCAGTTTAAAAAAAAAGAAAGAAAGCCATTTCCCTTAAGAAATGCCCTTCATGGGGCAGTGAGAATTATTGATTCCAGTCTATCCTGACTTCTGGGCACTTGAAACTTTAATATTCTATGTGACAAATCATGAAGTAAGAGAAGACACTTCCACTCAGACCAACACACAGCGGTGACCGTGAGGAAAGTATGTGATAGCTGGAGTTTAAGGCTAAACTGGGCACTTGGGTGAAACATCAATTTTACTATAAAGAAAATCTGATAAATATTTGTGGTTTTAGAAGATATTTTACTGAAGATAAAGTGAATTTGTCAATTCTGAAACTAATAATATAGTTAATTGTTAAGGTCAAAAATTTGAGCTTTAAAAAAGTGATAATTAAATTTCTAAAAATCTTGTATCCATGATTACAAGCTCTAAAGATTCTTCTAAAGGAGGTGAGTGGTAATGCTAATGAATGTGATCTTTTGATAATGATGAATGGAATATGTCTGAGAAAGATGTTCTTAATTCAGTAAACTATTATTTTCTAAATAAAGAGCACATGATATCACACAACAGTAAAAGATCTACTCAAAATGTAACATGGAACAGTGGATTTTAATTTAATTTTCCAGAGTTGGAAAGGTTCACTGAAATGGTTTCAGATTCTACACCATAAATAAACTGTAAGAAAACTACTGTGTGTTAGGTTTGGATGTAGCATAAAGAACATACACAATTATCTGAAAAACATACTATTTAATACTCCTTTCTTTTCCAGCTATCTATGTAATGCTAGATTTTTCTTCACACTCTCCAAACCAATGTACAGGGTATGATAAAAATATATTGTGAATGTTTAAATTAAAAACATTACAGAGGGCTGGGGAGATGGCTCAGTAGGATAAGTGCTTGACTGACAAACACAAGGATCTGAGGTCAATCCCCGGTTCCGTAAAAAAAAAAAAAAAAAAAAAACCATTACAGAGGCCTGGGATATAGCTCAGTGCTGTAGCCCGAGGTCCTGAGTTTGGGGTTTCCAGTACTAAACAAATATTACTACAGTGCAAGACAAATTGCCATTAATTCCATTCAAAATATTTCCCCTTGCTTAGAATAAACTACCCACTCTTCTCATCACTTTCTGAAGCAGTTCTGAAGTTCTCTTTTATGAGTGTTTTTACAAGGTGTCATCAAAAATATAATGAATGCTACTGCTAAGTGACACTGAAAAGAAAGGCAGGCTCAGTGTGTCCTGTCACCATATTCACTGAATGTGGTACTACAGGACCTCTTGCTTTTCTTCAAAGTCAAAATTATCATGAAAAGTAAACATTTTGAATTAATCTGGTTCATTAAAGTAGCCCTAACAGCACAAATAAAGATACTCATGAAAGAAGACTTTCACAATTGCTTCAGAAAGTGTCAAGAATAATGGAATAAATGTGTTTGAACTAGACTGGACATGGTGGCGCGCACCTATAATCCCAGCACTTAGGAGGCTGTAAACAGGAAGATCACTGAGTCTAATCTACACAATGAAACACTGTATACCCTGTACCCTATCCTAAAAAAAAAAAAAAAAAAAAAAAAAAAAAAGTGTTTGAACTAAGTGGAAGCATTCTGAAAGAGACTACTGGTCATGTGTCTTCTACTATAATAAATTTTTTAAAACTGAGTTACTCACCATATTTTTAGATCACAACTCACAGAACACACTGAAAGCAGAAATAACAGTCTGGCACCCCCCTTCTACGCTAGCTATCAAGCCAAAAATATTTTATTTTGTTTTATTTTATTTTACTTTACCCTTTCTATGGTGTCAGTAATTGAACATAGGACCTCACGCTTGCCAGGCACGTGCTATGATGCTGAGCTAAATCCCCAGCCCCAAGAAACATTTTTAATACTATTATTCTCATTAAATTCTTTTTCTTTTAGAAGACGTTAAGATGTTATTTAATGATTTTATTATATTCAAATGAATTAACAAGTATTTATTTTCTCAGTTTTAATTTCTAATGCAGTGAGTATCAATCGATAGGATAATAGAAGATCCCACTAACTTTTCAAAGTCCTGAGATACTAAATTTGAGAGCCACCATACTACACACATGATGAAAGAGAAAAATGTGAAATGCAATCAAAAGAAACCAGTCCTGAAATGATCCAGATTTGGAAATTAGTACCCAAAGATTTTTAAAGCAGCTAGTATATCTAGGATGTATAGGAAAATAAATCTGTAATGACTAACAAATAATAAATCTCAGCAGAAGGGGCTGGGGAGATAGCTCAGTTGAATAAGTGCTTGCCTGGCAAGCTCAAGGGCTTGAGTTCAATCCCTGGCTCTGCAAAAAAAAAAAAAAAAAAAAAAATCTCAGCAGAAAAATAAAAAGCTTGAAAACAAGTGCAAATCTATAACTTTAAAATACAAAATATACAATATAAAAGTACATGGATCAATTTAATAACAAAATAGAAATTATAGAGCAGTCAGTGATTTTGAATACAGAACAAAAAGAAGTAAAAGTAAAATTGAGAAACTAAAATTGAAGGACACATTACATGCGAAATGCATGATTCTGAACAAGATCCTTTTGCTATAATGGACATTACTGAGATAGTGGGCAAAATCTGAATGGCACCTATATTATGTATCCATATTAATGTTCTGATTTTAAAAACTGTACTGTAGTTATATAGGTCAATGTTGTGTATAACATACAGTATTTGGAGATGACAGGCATCAACTTAGTACCTTACTTTCAAGTGGTCCACTAAAAACAAATTTTTTTATTCTGTCCTTGCAAGATTTCTACAAAACTGACAGTGTTTCAAAAAAAAATTTTAAGCCTTAAACATACATATGTGCATGTACATACACAAATATATACACATCCAGACCAAACTCCTAGTTAATAAATTAGAATCTCTGGAGAGTTGTATGATTTGAAAGATTTCAAAGCGCTTAATATATTTACTTTTCTTATGCAGAAATTCAGTAGCTCTCTATTTGTAAAAGTAATGGTGAATAGAGTTGATTGCATGAAATTCTTTTCCAATACAAGGATGCCATCAGTCACTCCCTGCCACTCTGCTAGTCTGTTTAATGACCACAAAATGCTCTTTCCATCAATGCAAAAGTTTTGTCTGCCACCTCCATGTATATAGTTAATTACTTGTATCTTTTTATTAAGAAGGTGGATCTTTTATAAAATCTGCACTGAAGATGCTACTCACATAAAACTGGATAAGCAAGATTTCCACAAGAAATATGTGCGTGCCACACCTAATTAAATGCCATGCCATCTGCTCAATAAATCCACTCTTATGGCTAGACTCGTGATGTAGTATGCGAGCAGGTCGCATGGTGTTTTGACTTAATTTATGAAGAGTTTTAGAGCCTACATTAAGTTTTGAGATCTTTTCTGACTACAAATAAGCTAAATAACACTAGAGATATTAGCCAAAGAAGAAAATATCAAAATTAAGAAATCCTGCTCATCAAAAGAAAATGAACATAATAAACATCCCTTCTATCTACTGCCAAAAAAAAAAAGAAAAAAAAAGAAAATGAATTAGGTAAGCCATAACTCAGGAAGAAATATTAACAGTAAATATTTGATAAAGAATTTGTATCCAGTTTATATAAAGAATGCCTAAACAGAGACAACATAAACACAACCCATTTTAAAAGGGCAATAGGGGCCGGGGAGATGGCTCAGTGGAATAAGCGCTTCCCTGGCAAGCGCAAGGACCTGAGTTCAATCCCCGGTTCCAAAAAAAAAAAAAAAAAAAAAAAAAAAAAAATTAAAAGGGCAATAAATGAAGGGGACAAAAGACTCAAGTACATACTTCAAAACAAACATCAAGACTTAAAATTTTGGCTATTTTGAAATTTTGAGTGAATATCTGAATAAGATAAAGACATGATTTTTAATACACACGACATCTTGTTTTGAAATAAGTTTTCAATTACATAAAAAAATGTATTTTCTTCATGCAGTAGAGGTTTAAACTGGCTGAAAAAAATGACATTCACCACAAACTTACAGTATCTAAGAAATGTGAACAATAATTGGATGTTAACGATTCAACTTTGAAACAAATACTTTCTACTTTGCTAAGTTTTAAAAATATTTAACTGAAGAATATTCTAGTATCACTTATCTGTACAAATCAGAACTTTCTGAAATTCAAACTGCTAGACAAAAGGCAAAAAACTAAATAAACTAGGTCTTCAGGAAGGTATATGACTAAAATTATCATTCATAGCTTACAACTGCCAAATTCTGTGTTCATTAAAACAGGTTCTATGGTTTTACTCCATTTGTGCTCTAAAGGCTTTCTGGCCAAAAAAAAAAAAAGTTATCAATATGAATTTACAAAATTAACCTATTAAGACAATGAAGTCTGGGAAGGCAGCTCAGCAGTGGAGCACTTGCCAACCACTCCCCCAGCCCGGGTTTAGTTCCCATCACCATACACACGCTCATAGCGCCGTAATGAAATATTGTCTAAGTTTTATATTTAATGTTATGACACAACTTCATTTGGTGTACTGATATACATTTTTTGAAAAATAATTCTGGATTTAACAATTGCTAAGCTTTTTCTTGAAACCAAGAAATACAGAGACCTTGTGACAAGGACACATTCACCATGGTAATGGCCAGGTGCTTAGGAACATTGAGCAAGACATAAATCACTGTGATTACTGTTCACAAACACATACAGTGCTTATCCCCCACAGAACTGTGTATGGAATATTTTATTGCAATACTTACTGGTGCTACGATTTTTCCTGTCTGACCAACCTGCATATCATTGGGAACGAAGCCAGCATCAACAGCCGCTCGGGACGCACCAACTAAGGGAAAATTGTCGTTGTTTTTCAAGCTCTATTATTCAGCTGGTAAGACATTTACTAATAATTACAAACAAAGACACAATATAATACAGATTTTATAGAGAACTGATTATTTAAAAACTTGTCACTGATTGAGAACTCTAAATACTAAGTATTAGTGTATTTTTTCAAGAAAATGCCTTCTATCAACATCTACTAACTTTAGATTTTAAATTGGGCTTAATCCTTTTTTGTTTTAAAATAGGTCTCAGCCAGGTATGGTGGTGCACAGCTGTAATCTCAGCACTCAGGAGGCTGAGGCAGGAGGATCACTTCAAGTTCAAGTTCAGGCTGTACTACAAAGTGAGTTCAAGGCCAGTCTGAGCTACTTAGTGAAACCCTCTCTCAAAAAGACAATCAATCAATCAAAATAAGGTTCCAGTATGTTATCCAGGCTGGTCCTAAACTCATAGGCTCAAGGCATCTTCCCACCTCACTGTCCCACTAATTGGGACTACAAAGCATGCCACCATGCCAAATATAGCTCCAGCCTGCTTTATCAAAGAAGAAACCTGTATTACAATCTATTAAGGCTGTCTGTACAAGATATCCTTTTCTTAATAAATACTATATCATTTATTTAAAGGCCTAAGAAAAATTATTTCAGAGAGGAAAACTGAAAACCACAGCAAAAACCATGTACACCTTTAAGAGACTTCTGCAGAAAAAAAACAGTAAAATTCTTTCCACTAAAAAGTTAACATCTTGGGGCTGGGGAGATGGCTCAGTGGAATAAGTGCTTCCCTGGTAAGCGCAAGAGCCTGAGTTCAATCCCTGGTTCTACCAAAAAAAAAAAAAAAAGTTAACATCTTTCTCCTAGGAAAGCATCTTTACCTGCAGCGTGTAGTTGATCTGCCAAATCATACAACAACTTAAAATTCTCTCCACTCTTCAAGCCACGACCTTATTTTAAAAAAGGATACATAAAGTAAGCATAAATTCCATTCCATAAAAAGTTTGGTATTATGTGTATCTGGTGGAATTTTTATATTACATAATTGCCACATTAAGCATACTGCCTTTTCTATAAAACATTTTCTGAATACTTCTGAAACTCTGATACATCTCCTACAAAGCAATTACAGCAATTCGACATTACAGCAATTAACTAGTCAAGCAACAGTATAATCATTTTTAAAAAACAATCCATTTACTTGAGAGAGAGCATAGTAGTAATTGATATGACATTAGAAGCAGTATACATTTAGAAGACCAGAATGACAGGCATTCCAAGCATGGCCCCAGTGTTATACACTGCTATCCTTGGTGCAGTTGCTTAGTTCACAGGTACCACCATATATAGTTAGTTTGAGTGAGAATCCTACAGATAATACCAATGAGAAAATCCAACAGGAAAGTGTAAATACGAGGTATAAAAAGTAAAGCCATATTAATATACTGAGCTATAAATGGCTGAAGTCAACACCTTCTGACATTGCCAGTCCTACAGGTAACCCACTACTATTATGGACTACTGAACTATATTGGATTATTTTGCTAAATTCATGCACCTACAATATTTGAATGGCAATGGAATACCCATCTCTGACAAAACTAAACAAAAAGGGGGCTAGAAAAGAAGGACCATTTTGTAGTGTACATACAAAATAGGATAGATACACAGCTACTTTCTCTTAGTTCAATGAGAAGATTTGTACTAATACTGTTAAGACAAGATATTATGTCTACATTTTGTACTATGAATAACTACTATGAAGACAACAATATGCAACATATTAATTATTGTAACTGTCCTACTAACCTGTTTTGGAACTATCTCACTGCTATTTCTTTCTCAATTAATATATATATATATA